TATTTATCTATCCATTTATCTATTTATCTATCTATCTATCTATCTATCCATATAACTATCTATCTATCTATCTATCCATATAACTATCTATCTGTCTATCTCTATTTATCTCTCGCTTCCCCTTCTCTCTCTCTTTCTCTCTCACTCCCCCCTTCTCAACTCTCTCTCTCTCTCTCTCTCTCTCTCTTTCTCTCTCTTTCTCTCTCTCTCTTTCTCTCTCTCTCTTTCTCTCTTTCTCTCTTTCTCTCTTTCTCTCTTTCTTTCTGTCTCTCTCTCTTTCTCTCATTCACTCTTTCTCACTCATTCTCTCTTCCTCACTCATTCACTCATTCATTCTCCGTTTCACTCACTCTCTATCTCTCTATATATCTGTCTGTCCGAACGTTTATCTATCTAACTATCTATCCGTCTACCTATCTATCTACCTACCTATCTATCTCAATCTCTATCCTTTTCTCCTCTCAATTCTTCTCTCCCATCATTCCTTCCTTCTTTCCCTTCATTCCTTCTCTCTCCTTATTCCTTCCTTCCCTCCTTTATTCCGAACCTGATTTACTGAAATCACAACACAGAAAGGGAAAGAAAATAAGCCACTGTGTCTCCCAGATGGAAAGGCACCTGTTATGATGCTCCAATGGGGATATGAGGGAGTGTAAGTGTAAATATTAAATTCCCTTAAATTCTCGATTGAGTTCCCTTAAGAGAAAGAGCAGGTGATGTGATGCTTAATGGTGAATGAAACTTCAATCATCCCTGATTGAAAGTACCGTTATATATTTAGACGCTCTGTGAAATCGACAAATACATAGATAAGGTAAATAAATACTTAAATAGCCAAATAAGGTTATTTGCTCTGATGTCTTTGTAATACTTCGTTTTCCATTTAATCTCTGAGTTTGTTTTATTGTTTACTTTATTTCTATTTCATTTTTATTTGTCTATTCTCTTTTTATTCTTATTTTTCTTTTTACTTTTTTTTTTTTTTTTGTGAGGGGGGTCTTTATACTAATGCCCCTTCACTTATTTGTATCTCTCTCTCGCGCGTTTTCACTTTTTACCCTTTTCGAGAGCGTTCTCGTAACTCGTACTATTATGGTATATTAATGCATTACTTGTTCTTTATCTCCTCTCTGTCTCGCATGGTTTCCAGTGATTATTTTCTTCAATTTTCTAGCTGTCTGTCTATTTGCATTGTTTTCTCTTTCTCTTTCACTCTCTTCCTTTCTTCTGTCTTTAGATTTCTCTTTCTCTTTTCCTTTTCCATTCTCTTTCTTGCCTCTTGCTTTCTGTCTCTTTCTTTCTCCTCTTTCCTTTCTATCCCTTTCTTCCATCTCTAGTTTGCTCTCACTTTTTCTTTTTCTCTCTTTCTCTTTCTTTCATCTTGGGCTTTCTATTTCTTCCTTTCATCTTTAGATTTATCTATTGCTGTCTCCTCCTTTTCTCGCTCATTCTTTCTGTTTCTCATTCTCTCTCGTCATTTATTTCATATTATGTAAACACATTAACACGAGAGAAAACAATGAAACAAATACTAGAAGGGGCATTGTTGTGTTAGTAATGTTTATCGAGTTCAACTAAATTTCTGTTCAGACTCCGGCCTGTAAATGGGTTTAGTGTTTCCTGTGTCACGGTGGCTGGGTTTCAGTATATATATACATGCGTATGTGGTGAGAGTGTGCGTATGTGTGTGTGTGTGTATGTGTGTGTATGTGTGTTTGTGTGTGTGTTTGTATGTTTGAGTGTGTGTGTGTGTGTGTGTGTGTGTGTGTGTGTGTGTGTGTGTGTGTTTGAGTTTGTGTGTGTGTGTGTGCGTGTTTGTGTGTTTGTGTGTTTGAGTTTTGTGTGTGTGTGTGTGCGTGTGTGTTTGTGTGTGTGTTTAAGTGTGTGTGTGTGTGTGTGTGCGTATTATCCTATCTACCAAAGACCAGTCATAATACAAAGACAGCAGAGACAATCACCACTCCTTTTGACATTATCAATATGGCTTTTTCGACAAGAAGGATCTACTGGTGACCTCCCGGCCTATGTAACTCACGTTTGATCCTCTTCCCTGTGATGAAAACAACGTGATTTCTATAGACATTTCAAAGGCCTTCAAATCGCATCTGGTATAAAGGCCACCTTCTAAAATTGATGTTAGGGACTCCCTCCGAGTCTTATCAGCTGGTCTGGTAGCTTTCCATCTGACAGGTCAATTACTGATAGAAAGGGTGGGCTTCTCTCTGCCTCTCGCTCTATCGGTGCTGGCGTGCCTCAGGGAATTGTGGTTTCTCCTTTTCCTTTTTTTCTTTTTCTTTTTTTCTTTTTCTTCTTTTTTTTTCTTTTTCTTTTTTTACTCGTTATCTATGACCTGCTATCTTCCGTGTCCAATCGCTCACTCACTCATGTTTTAGCAACTCCGTTTTATCTTCATTATCATTATTATTATTATCATTATCATTATTACTAGCAGTAATAGTAGTAGTAGTATTGTCGTCATTAACATTATCATTATCGTTATCATTATCATTATTATTATCGTTACTATCATTAGTAGTAGTATCATTATCATTAACGTATAGCTAGTGAGCATTTTCTCCACGAAGAAACCATCTCATTTCTCGCCGATGACTTGACGGTGAAGTAGTGTTAAGCCATAGAGACAAAGGAGCTAACAACCGACATACTTATTCCACGAAAATATAATCCTCTTTAGCCATCCACCTGTGAAATAAAATGGTTATTCTTTCTCACAACATGAATGTTCTATTATTTCTGACATCAACTGCGAGCCTCAACTTAACCGATTACTATGGTCTTCACATCAACATGAATCTGAAAGTCTCCCTTCAAACAGCAAATATTCTTTGCATACTCAAAAAAAATCCACTTCATGAAAGAAAAATAGATAAGTAAATAAACAAAATTTTAAAATACTAAAAAATTTACATTCCTTACTAATCAGCGTTGCGTTGCTGCTTTATCTACCTTTTGTTGTTTGAATATTGTTGCCAGTCCCTCACAGACATCATACCAGGAAAAGGGACAGTTTTATACCTCCTATAAACCAACATCCTTTCCCTGTCTCTGCCTTAGACACTCTATAAACCATCATCCTTTCCCTGTCTCTGCCCCTGCCCCTGTCTCTGCCACTAACTATCCTCTTTCATGAACTTCTTGTCTACGGAACGACTACTCTGACATGTTTTCTGTGTTTTACAACTTCTCTACTCTTAAAAAGGTTGTAGATGCGTTTGACGTTACGCCATCTCTCACTTATAGCCTCCTTTCAGGTCTTGAGAGCCTTCGGTTGTAGGATTATTTGGGTCTTTCCTTTATGTGAGAAACTGCCATATATTAATATGTATATATATGTATATAAATACATACATTTGTATATATGTGGATATATGCACTTTTATTCAAATATACGCGCACACACACACACACACACACACACACACACACACACACACACACACACACACACACACACACACACACACACACACATACTCACATATATATGCGTGTATGTGTTTGTGTGGAGGGGGGGTGTATTTGTATGTATGTGTGTGTTTGCGTATGTATCTTGGTCTATTGATGTGTGTGTTTGCGTACATATATGTGTCTTGATATGTGTGTTTATGTTTCTATGCAAGGTCTATAGAAAATTATCTAAAGATGACACAATTTAGAACAAACCTCTCATGCATCCCAAACACTATCATCAAATGTTTTTCTCACAATATCGTAAAATAACTCCAACGCCATCTAGCGCACACAACGCATAATTATATATTAAGTAATCAGAAACACACATATAAACCCTCCAGCTACATTGCTTTGAACGCTTGTGAAACACTTACTTAACTTATCCGCCCTATCTGGTGTTTGAACAGAACCCCAGGAATATGAATAGAAGCCTCTTTCCGAATAGTTTACCCCCCTCCCCCTCCCCCCTCCCTCACCCTCACCCACTCTCCCTTACCCCTCCCCCTCCCACTCCCCCTTACCCCTCCCCCTCCCACTCCCCCTTACCCTTACCCCCCTCCCTCCCCTCCCCCCTCTGGTCCTCGGTCGTGGTCGAGATATGCCGCTGCTAATGTTTTGATTCCCGCAGGAATTCCCGGCACCATTAAGAGATAGTGTGTTGGGTGCGGGAGGGGGGAGGGGGGAGGGGGAGGCAGTGTGGACAAGGATTATGATAAAGAGTGTCTATATTGAATAAGTGAATAGATAAATGAAAATAGATAAATGAATATTTATATGTATATACTCACACACACACACACAGACACAGACACACACACACACTCACACACACACACACACACACACACACACACACACACACACACACACACACACACATATATATATATATATATATATATATATATATATATTATATATATATATATATACGCATATATATGTGTGTGCATATATATATATATATATATATATATATATATATATATATATATATATATATATATATATATATATACGCATATATATGTGTGTGCATATATATATATATATATATATATATATATATATATATATATATATATATATATATATATATATATATATATATGTATATATATATAATGTATGTATGCATATTCATATATAAATATATCCATATGTGTATATGTGTGTGTGTGTGTGTGTGTCCACAGTGGTGTGAATGTCATATTCCCTCTCTCACTCAGACCAATATCGAGGAAATGCAGTTTTTAAATGCTGCTTAACTGAATAGACGACACCAACAGGCTACTCTATTGTTCGGTCGTGCGCCCTTGTCTATCCCCCTTTCAGACCGGCATTCCGTTTGTTTCTTTCCCTCCCACAGGAACCAATCAAAGGGAGAGGGAGTGAGGGTAGATTAGAACACCAACCGAGCGAACGAAATGACCCAACACATATACCCTCATACAGCCATTTCTCTGCAAATCATCAATCCGCATTCAACATCCTCTTCCCTCTCTCCCCCTTCCCCTCCCCTGCAGGTGACCTTCG